TTAAACTGATTTTCACCATTTTTTTTTTTTTGTCTTCAAGTATTTTTAATTGCATATAAGTAAATGGACTTCATGTCTACTCAAAATACACCATATTTCAAGGTAGCTTTCCAAAGCATATAAGAATTTACTTTCATTATTTCCTTTTTCTCAACTGAATTCTGCCACAAGCATTGAATAAACACTTTTTGTTGTTTCTTCACAAGTTCAAGGCTTCATTTCAACCTTGATCTTTGTAAAGCTTATTCATTGTTGAATTTTGAAAATAATGATTTTTTTTTTAATCTTGAATAATATGAAGTACTCAGAACTTAACTATAACAAATATTAAAATAGGAAAATTTTAAAGAAAATAAGAACATTTTTTATATGGACTCAAATATAAAATCTATACATTTTGATAATTTTGAATATTTGATAAGTTATTTCTGTTCTCTTGTACAACTGTTTCTAAGCCTGTAAAATATTCTAACTATAATTAAAAGTTTGTTTGGATATGTGAAAAGCAAACTAATATTTCCAGGATGGCAGCACTTTAAAAGTACATTTAATTGCATGTCATCAAAGTTCTTCTTTTGCTTAAGATTACATTTAATAGATTATAACATTAGTGAGTACTCAAACTTTTTTATACATAAAATTGAATATTATAAATTAGAAGTCCTTTTTTTTTATTAAAGAAACAAAATTTAGTCTTAAAAATTTAAGTAAATAGAAAACAATTTAAGATCAAAATCCAATCCTCTTTATAGAGAGAGAGAGGGGACAAAATAAAATGTTTTGTTAACAATTTAGAAAATTAGAAAGGATATTTTTTTTTTTTCTATGTGCTCAGAAGACAGTAGCTTCCAATAAGGAAATCTCTTATTTCTTTATTATATTCTATTAATATTAGCTGTTGTGTTAAATGTGACTTCAGCAAAGAAACTAATAAATTACCGATGGTTTAAGTTATTTAACTTTGTCTAATGAAAATAGAACTGTTGATAAAAGTACACATAAGCAATGAAGTAATGACAAGCAATTAAACTGATTCTTTTTGTTGAGGGGTTTTTTGTTGTTTTCATTTTATGTTCTAGACAGAGAATGATGATAGTGGGTTCCCGCTCAACTCACTGGCTGACGCTAGGATCGCCATGTCACAACAGGAATTTATCCATCGGCCAATACAAAGAAATTGGGAAATAACAAAATACATGTTGTATACAAAAAGTAGAAATTCCACATACATGAAAAAAGAACAATATACAAAAGAACATCATACATAATTGCATTGATGGTAAGTAAGCATTTTTACTTGAATCGCATGGAAAAAAATTCCAACATTTATAATCTTTTCAAAGTTATAGAAAATAAAGCAAAGAAACATTTTTATAAGAATGTAAAACATTAGAATTTTTTTTTTTTTTTTTTTCAGTTACAATCTAAATAATGTCATCATTAATTTTTCTATTTGATGACAAATATTTTCAAATGTTGTTCTCATTCTGAAAATTCATTAGTTCCTTTTTAATGTTTTCTACAATCTTTAAAAGATTACTGTTGTGAAAGTTCTAAAAATATGCATACATACACATTATTTATATCGGGTATACATAATTGAACAAAATGTTTACTATAAGAGGCTGACTCTCAAAAATCCTGCAATAAAATCAAACAGAAATTAGTTTACTATGAAAAGTCTATCTTAAATTGTCCACTTCATTTGAACAGCAATGAAAATAAATTTAATCTAATTTATAGCCTAATTTTGGGAAAAGAAAAAAAGCAAATATTATGGCTTGATATTGGATTTGATTTCCTGATAGGTACAATTTTAAGCATTTATAAGCACACTTAAAAATGAAAACATTTTAATATCACATCTTGTCATTAATCAGAAGAGAAGGCTAGAGAAATACATAAAGACAATAAGGAAAAAGTTGTACATATTACAAGTTTGGCAAAAAATCTAAGTAGAGGAAAGAATGATTTATGAAAGTTGAAGAGTGTAGACGGCAACTTGTAAAGAAATACTGAATCTTGTACAAGCGGGTATTGAAAAGTTCTCGATCAGACCCTCTCCCTAAAATCAGTATTTCACATTCATCAGAATGTTTTTGGAAGGTTTAAAGAAACTTGAGACATTGTTTCAAGATTGTTGCACTGTAGAGTGAATATTTGGAATAGCATGTTATTTTTTAGTCTCATAATACTGCTTCATATTAAATCTCTTTATAATCCACTTCACATCTAAACATGTCAGCCAGATGTGAACAACACAAAAGCAAAATTAAAAATAAAATAATCACTCTCTGTGCAGGGGCTCCAAACATCACATTTGGCCCACAAAACAAATCCATTCATACCAAAATATAAAATACAATTTAAAAGAAGCCACTCACGAATGCTGCCACTAAAGCAAAAACATGACAAAACACTGTCAGGTATCCACTCTGACTGCTTAAAAGGACCTGTTCATGGCACTCACAGGTGAGTAGGCAGGCAGGTGGCCATAGACCTCACCAGTGATCTCGGTCAACCGACTGGATACAAGCTTCAATACCAGGTCCTACTGCCTCCTTTCATCCTCCCAGTTGCTTTCCTGGCCCACGAAGAGACATTCTGCCTTGATCCCCTATATCAACAATACAAAGAGTTTTATTTCAACATATCTTTTCTTTCCACCTCACCAACAGTACTTGGTTGTTTCAGTTTGTTCTCAGTTATCATATGTGTTTTATAACAGTCTTAATGGTTGAGTTAACACTTGAACTTTGTTTCAGAATTTAATAACTGGATAGAGAAATAAGGAAGATCAAGGCTTCTCATTATAAGGCTTTCTGGCAATTACAAATTAAGATTTGTCAAAAAACATTAAAAGATTTATATAAGAAAATGAAAGAAGTGTAACTTTTTGCAAAATAATTTAAATTGGAAGAGTAACTAAAAATCCTTATAAAAAAATTAAAAATAAATGCAATTAAAAATCCTTTTTATATAAAATGAGTAATCACAAATTAGGCAACTTATTCTCCAGTTTATATCTATTATATTAATATAAATAAAGAACTAAAAAAAACAGACATCACAAATATGATTAATTCATATATAATTTGTATTTTAGATAAATTTTGTGCTAAATATCACTTATGTCAAATGTATTATTTATTTATATGCAGGAGTATCTTAAATTTTATTAAAGCACAAACTTATCACAAAGAGCATGGAGTGAATCAAATTTCCATTCACAATTTTTGTTACATATTTTGTGAAAAATAGTGCTCTTAAAAAGTATGCATTAAATGACAAAGAAATAAAGTAGATAATGATGTGGATTGGATATATAAAGAGTAATTGACCATAAGGTTGATATGATTAGGTCTTTAACTTTTATTACCATTTTGTGTATATTTGCTGGTATTCATGGACATACAGAGGTGCACATTTTAAAATAAAGTATACTACAAAATAATTCTAGATTATTACTTTAAATAGTACAGAATGACTTGAAAGAGAAAATATCACAAAAATTATTTTAAAGTTTGATTGCTAACCTTGATGAAAGACAGTTAATCTTCCTGTCTCAAAACAAGTTATCTTGATAGTTCTTGTAATTGTATCATGTGATAGAATTGACATGATTTTTTCTTTTCTTATCCTAAGTCTCTCAATATAATGTTATGTTTAAACATAAATCTCTTAATAGAATTATTTAAAAAGTGATACACAAAAGCAAAACTTATTATCTTTAGAATATACTATGTACAGATATGAACAACTTACATAAAACTCAATTCCACATTTTTCTATATTTTGCATGAAATCTGGCCAAAATTAATTTTAGTAATGAATTATGAAAAATACTTAGCACTATATTAAATTTAAGTAAACTATTTGAAACTAGCTTAAAAGTTTCCCTATCAGCTAGCTCCTGCAGAGGGCTCTTGGTTGGGTCTTTGGCTTGTTCAGGAGTTTGAGAGTCTGAGTCTTTGCATATTGTCAGCATTGGATGCTCTCCTGGCTGCCATTTGATCTGGGTTTTCAATTGTATGGAACCTTCTTTTCCTTGACTTTTTTTGATTGCAATCTGGTCTTCTGTTGGTGGAGATTTCTTTTTACGAGATGTACATGCTGCCATATGCAATAGGCAACAATAAACTAAAGAAGAACTCAAAATTGATCACTGCATTTAAGTATTGCATTAAAATTTAAGCTTACCTTTTAAAATTTCAATGAATTCTTCTGCTGCCACTTACTTTAAAGACAATTTGATGTGAGTAGGTCTTTATTTTCCATACAAACAATTATTTGTTATTTCATGGGTGACTTTCACTGGATTTCACAATTAATTTCAATTATTCCCAAATTTATTTCAAAGTTATAAAAATTGTTATTGCACAAAAAAAAATTGTTGCAAAAAATCATGTAAAGAAAAAATCACAGTAATGGAAACTTGGGAATCCTAAATTTCTGTAACATGTGCTACTGAAAGTTAGAGAGTTGTGTCCTTTTAATTAAAAAAGCATGACACACTGACATTGACATTTATTATATAGATATTATGACTTATATACCAAAGAAAAAAAAATAATGAAATCTTGCAGCCAAATATTTAAAAATTGCCACACTAAGGAAAATTTAATTAACATTATAATGCTGAATAATGAAAAAAAATAATGTCTTGTTATCTGGATGACATCTCTAAAAGATGGAAAAATATCTGAGTTTTATTCATAAGTTTAACTTTGTAAATGGCATACACAGTTTATTTATTTTTTTTTTTATTCAATCTTTTTTGGTTGATTCATTCATTTTTCTATGGCTTATCAACCCTTTGCAGCTTATTTAAAGCCATAAAATATTTTTTAGATTGCAAGATTTGTTTTTGGTAGATGGTTTAATGATACAAACCTTACTAAGTAAACTATAGCTGTGGAGAGAAGCAGTTGATTCATACTTTTCCCCAAAAGGTATCCGATTAACAATTATGAGCCATTATTGATTACACCACCCACAAGCTTACAACACCAGGTATTCCCAAGTGGTCACCCATCTAGGTACTGACAAGGTTCAATGTTACTTAACTCTGGTGGTCATATGGGATTATTCTATCTTTTCATAATGTTTATTTACAATAAAACCAAATGTTGCACTCTTCCCATTTTCATCACGATATACTATTTAACAAATGTTCCTGGAATTTTAACAAAGCTAAAATTTTAATAAGTGATTTCTGATTTTATTTTTTAAATCTTTTTTCAATTGGTAAACAATTAGGTAGGCAGATATTGTAGAAACATCTCAAGAAATTACTCTGACCTTTTAAAACACTGATTTAAATTAAATCTGCAAATATCCAATTATCTTAATACAATTATTAATGTTTAAAACTAAATGAAATAGGAGCGAAGTAAGTGAAGCAAGATAAGAAAAGCTGAAACCTTGTAAAAAAAAATTTGCCAAATTATTCTCGAGGCCATGTAAACAACTGTATCAATTAACTAATAAAAGTATTGAAATTTATAAGTGCAATGAAATTGAATGCTAAATATTGTTAAATTAAGGGCAGGATTTATGATAGTCAAGCCTTCACATAGAAACAAAACAAACAAAAACATGCTTCTTTATACAGCAAATGAAGTACAATGTAAAATATATAAGACAATTTTAAAAACAATTGTTTTCCCAAAAGACCCATTTTTGCAGAAATCTTATGGCATTTTTAATTATATTTTTTATTAATAACTTGGTTTGTGAAATACCATGACACACATAAAAAATATTTTGAAATAGAATTTTACCATGAAAATATTATCTATATGTATAAATTGTGTGCTGCAATCAAGAATATAAACAAATCAGACACATCCTGCTGGGAAAGCAATTCTTTAAATGGTGACTTAAAAAAAGTCAAAATTGATTTTGCAATAATTAAAATCCAAACAACTAAAACAGAGAAAAAGAAAAATTATTCTGACATTTGTGGTTTCACACCACAAATGTCAGAATAGATGAGAGCTATTTAATTTTTTTTAACTAAAAATTATATTTTCCTTTAAGATGTAATCAGTCTACAATAGGCTTGTGTATTATTAACAAGTACACTAAACCAATGTTGTACACTGTTTACTAAAAAAATGTTCACAGTAGGGAAAAATTTTAAAAAACAGACAAAGAAACAGCTCAAAAGCTGAACTTTTGTGACAGAAAAAAATAAAAAGGCATCCAAACACTATTTCAAAAGCTTCTTGCACAATAATTAATAAATTAAAAAATAAGAAAATGGGAATAAATTATTTCATATCAAAATATATTGGCCAATCATTACTTTCTTTGTATAGAATAGACAGCAGTGAGTCCTGCTCAACATCACTGGCTGAGGACAGAACCACCCCTGCTGCTTCTGATGGCAACTGGCAGTTGTTAGTGCCCCCTTATGGGAGAATTCACAACCATCTCTTGTCATATATATATATATATCTTCTCAGAGGAAATAAAGGCAACATAATAGTTATGTGAAAAACAGTTCCAGGTTTAAGCAAGCATTAGCAAATTCATGTGTTTACTATATCAAAGAGAAAAAAGGATTTCCATATAAATTCAATACTGAACTATTCTTTATTGATACTCTAATGAAAATTAAAAATAAAGAGATTCTATGACATATACAAGATTTATAATGAAAATGTATCGACAAAAAGTTTAAACAATTAAAACGAGAAAGTATACATTCAGCTTTTATTCATGAAAAAAGAAAGGTAAAAACAAAGAGAAAATTTCTTTAAAAGAATTATCTTGTACCAAAGAGACACTTAAAACATTGATCTTGTACATATACTGCTTTACCCTTTAAAATATACCAAGAATAATGAAAAAAAAAAAAGTATAATTTTACCCTAAAATTAAAAACAATTTGTTACACAATGAATATGTAATGTTTTCTAAATACTTTGAGTAGTTCCTAAAGCAATATTAAAGATATGGATTATAAAAAGTATACTAAAGTAGTGGAAAATATTTTTCCTTATAAATTATTATCTATGTTGCCTTTAAGTTTTTTCTGAATCCAAATTCTTATGATTGAAAAAAGAAATCAGGACAAACTTCAAACATTTGTAGATACAACTGCAGGGGACTAAACTCAGATATTCTATCACTATATAAACATGCACAATAACAATTCATTGGAGCAACAATAATTTCTAGAGGTATAATGAGTTTCCTGTTAATCTAAGCAGGTAACACATCACATATCTTGGGGTATATAAAGTTTCAAATGTTACAAAGAGAAAATCATGCTTTTATGTACTAATTGCCATAAATAATTGTTTTTAACATGAAATAAAGAGTTTGAACCTGAAATCTTTTACATAACATAATCCCTTTTTTTCAAAACTATCTGAATGCTTTGGGATCTTTCCTGCCCAACGAAACACTGGTTGACGCCAGGATAGCCACCAAAAATATCAACACTAGGGGGGGAACCGATCCCTCTTTATTAAAATAAATATTTTTTTGCAGGAAAAAAAAAATTTAATAGTTTATAAAATGAAAACATTTACCAAAATAACTGTCAATAGATATTACAAAATTCCTTTATGGACAAATATTTACTTGTAAATTTAAAGTATCTGGTCAAAGTTTTAATTGACTTTATATATGACTATGCTCTTCTTTGATGATTGAGCACTATGGAGAAAGGGAATTTTTAACAGTGGTTGCTCCTGATATTAATACATCGCTCTTCAGTTGTGAATTGAGCGCTCTGGCTGCTGATTTGGCATTTATATACATCACGTATATAATATATTAAAAGATTCCCTTTCCTTCTGTGCACCAACAGCTTAGGGGTAGAGTCTCTGACTGATGCCAAATTGATTGAGTTTCGATCCTGGCTTGAAGCAATTGGTTGTCTAGCCACACTGATGAGCTGTGATACAGCGAAACAAGCTTGTGTGTGATATATATATATATATATATATATATATAAATAAAAAAGAAAAGAAAGGGAAATTTGATTATAAAATTAATGTTTAGTGACATGAAATTTTTTTTTAAAAAACTACACATTCCAAAGGTTATAAGACATACTACAAAAAAATCATTTTCGAATCTATTCTAGATTTTTTTTTTAATGATGTAACTTCATTCAAATTGATTCTTGATGTCAGTTGAACAATGCATACACCACACATACACTTTCTTCATGTTTTGAAGATGTCTGACATGTCTGGCAAATTTAAATTGAACCAGACAATGCTCACAAGAAAAAGCATATTGCGTGAATTAATGAAAAAGTGACTTGGACCCAGGAATCATGGAGTAGAGGAAGTGCTTTTTGATGAGAATATCAGTTTAGATGGTTTCTAATAGAATGCAGTACAACAAGTATAATCTTCAGGAGGAGTAAATTATTTGTTTCCAAACCTTCATTTGTTGCAAGATCTGCAATGGCCTGAAGAGATTTTTCAGTCAAATGTAAAGCTGGGTGAAAGCAAGAAAAATACTCAGCTTTTAGAGAAGCACCATGTTCCATTAGGCAAGCATTGTTATAGAAGAAAATTTACATTTCAGCAGAATAACAAAGCCATTTTATAAAGCTTACATCACCAATGAATAGTCTGAATGCATCACAGTTATGAACTGGCTTGCAAACTTACTCCAGATTGCAATCCCATTGAGAACTTGTGAAAAGCTCTTTCAAGAAGAGTCTATGAGCAAGGGAAGCAGTTAAAAAGAGAAACCACTTAATCTCTTATATAAAATGTAGCTGTGATGAAATTCTACTTGTAATCTTGCAAAATCATGTTTTCACTGCATAACAGTTGTATTCAGGTTTTACAATAAATAGGAAAGCCTGACGATGATTATCAGTTTCATGTTTAATTTTTTTAAACATCTTGATGTCTTAACACCTTTGTAATGTGATTTTTTTTAAAAATTTGCTTAAGCTGTGAGAACTAAGCTCAAAACTGACTTTAAAATCAGACTGCCTATCCATTTTTTCATATAAAATGAAGTAGATTATTTTCTTTGACCAATATTTGAAATGTACAAATTAATATTTGTTGCATCACTACAAAGGCATAAATGGTATATATGTGTACATATATGAATTAAAAAAAAAATTATCGATTATAATAGTTTATTAATTGAAGAAATTTAAGAGAAACAAATTTAATCTATTCATTTAAAATAATTACAATTTTTCTTTGTAGCATAAAAATTATTTAACAATTTAATAAGTATTTTTAATAATTTAATAAGTCAAAAATATAATATTTTTTAGCTTAGTTTTGGCACAAGACCACAATTATAGGATTGAACTTACAACTTGATAGTAATGTTTTGCAAGACCAGCCTATTAACTACTGCACCACATTGAGGTGTCAATTATATTTTACTGTTTTAAGATATATATTAAAGAAAAAGACTAAAAGTACACATACATACATTTTGCACACACTAATATATATATATATATATATATATATATATATATATATATATATATAATGCATGCATTGTAGTTTTTTTTTTCTTTTTTTTTTTTTTTGTCATAGTTCATGATTTTAAGCCAACATAAATGGCTGCCTTTGTAAAATATAGTAAACAATATCACATGAGAGCTGCTCAGCACACTGGCTGTGGTCAGGCATCTCGACAATACTGTAATGTTAATGGAACCACTGTAGAAAGGAAAATCTGAAATTAGCCATGAGCTTTGTATCATCCAATACAGCTTAGAAGGAAGAGTTTTGTCCGAAGAAAGAATTATATGAAAATACATAATGGTGAAATAAATAAATGAAAAATGTAGCAGTTATTTTGTATTTAAACAGTTCTAAACTGATAAGCTCTTGATCTCTCTCTTATAAACACATTTACACACTACTGAAATGAATCAGTCGTGCTCTAACAAAGCATTAGATGATGACACTAGATTTCAGTTATGCGCTTTGTATTGGAACATCATTAACACTAACTAAAGTCAATCTAGTAATTATCTCACAATCTCAGCAGACTTGCACACTACCAAGACTTCTGACCGAGTTTGGGTAAAGTCTTAAACTATTGTTAATTTAATTTAAATTTCAGGAAAGG